ATAATAAAGTTTTAATTACAGATTTGCTCGTTTCAGATAAAGCAAGAAATGTTTTTCCTTTGCAGTTTTGGCGTATAATCAAAGATAAAAAAAATTCCTCTTGTAAACTCAATCCGGGGACATACTCATTGAAGCAATTTTCCATAACACAGTTTTCAAGAAACGTGTGTCCTCCAGTCCAGACCAACTTCCTAAATAAGGGTTTTTCAACATATTATACCTGCTCCTCAACTAGTTAGTTTGAAACACTATTGCAACAAAGCGCAGCGTGAGCGCCAAGTTAGACTGGTGAATAGTTTTTTCCCCGGGTGTACCTATTCAAGCACAAATTTGAAATTCCGAAACGAACGCGTAGCGGCGAGTTGAGGACCACATGAGTGCTTGAAGAACCTTCTGCAAGAAGTGCTTTATACTATTTTTTCTATTTTGCTGCTTTATATCATTTTATAAATTACAAAACGAAAATTTAATTTTTTTTCTAGAGAATTTTGCGACGGTTGGCGACATTTAGGTATGGTGAAAAATTTTAGGCGGCTGTACAAAGTAAAATAATTCATATTTTCACATTTGAAAATGAATTGTGAAGAAAGTCCGTCACTAATATTAAATTACCGCAAACGACTTATTTCAGCACTCAAATGACGTCATTTGGGTGCTGGAATAGACTTATTCTAACACCGAAATAGAAAAAGTGCTTTTTCTTTCGGGATATCATTGGGCATCACACAAGCAGCAAAAGATGCATTTTTCAAACATTGTCCATAAGCTAAAATCATGTCAGTCTTCACATCATTGGAATAAGTCCACATTTTGTTCAGTTTATAATAAATTGTAGCGTTTGTCAAAAATGACAATGATGATGACTGATGATAATAATAGGCATCGTGGATTCAAATTATATATTTTTTTAAAAGTGTCGCAAAGCAACCTGCGAAAATGTAATGGTGGCATCGAGAATTTGGTCAGGCTCATTATTCTTGTAAATCACCCTGTATTTATTAATTTATTATGCTACCCTCATAGCGCAAAAATCACGCCTTCTTGAACAGATCGATGCAGATCTTTCTCAATGAAAACGACACATACCTACCACATGTAACAGAAACAAATACATTAATTTTAACCATATGCAGAATTTGCCAAATGTAATATTTCTCATATAACATTTTCAAAAGGGCAATACTTACTATAAAATTAAAATTATAATCCGTTTTCCTGTTAAATCTCACATAATACCCGTCTATGATGACCGAGCAGAGCAACGTTACCGATAAAGCCGCTAAACATACGCAAAATAAAGTTGTTTATCGTCTTTTTAATTTTATGTGATAACAAGCACGTTGCATACATTAAAAAACAGCCATTAATAATTATTATTTCAACTATAAAAGTAAGTTTATTATTACTTTATGTGTAATAACAGTGTGTTAAAAACAGTAATAGAAAATGACAACTAACGAAATTTCTCAACATTATTTGATATTATTGTTTTCCACCGCCTACTTTAATAAATATATTAATTGACAATTACCTCACTAACGTTTAGTTTTAGGCAATAGAGATACGGTACTAAAACTTAAAAAAACGATTAAATAAAAAATCTAAAAATAAAATATATAGGATATTCCATTTAAAAGACTGAAATTGATGTCACTTTCGGTGAAACAAAAAGCAGCATTGACTAAGCATATATCCCAAAAAATAGATAACAATAAACTGTGCAACTTTGTTCCAAGAAGTATTGTCATATCTTTAAAATGAATTTAGTTATGGCTCTGGGTGTTTTTTTTTTGTTAATCCATTCTGTATTAAGAATAGATATAAATTATGTTTATGTTGTAAGATTATTATTGACTTGTACGCTCCATGTAACACAAATAAGTAATAAGAATTGTATTAATTTATTTATCTCGGAATTTTTCTATTGCCAATATGTCACTTTTCATAGGAACTTTTCTGTGTGAAAAAGTGGATCTTTTTGGCTCTAAATTTGTCAGTAGGGTTGAATTGTAACACAGATTCTTCTTTTACAAAGAAATTAAATGATTATGATTATTGCACCTCCAAATGTTCAGTTATAACTTTGGCAATAGTAACGTTCCGTGGTGTGTTCATATTATAATTTTAAATAACTTACCAAATTGTTTATTTTGATTTGACCTGCGATTTCAAAGATGCTGACATAGCATTTTTAATAACAAAACCTCGAACATTTGGAACAAGTTAAACACCCACATTTTATCACAAAATTGGGTAATTCTAATACAAAATTAACCAAATGTAAACAACACCGATCAAACTCAGACATCAAACTGTAATTGTTATTGCTGTTAGCTGAGAAAGCGGTTATCTCTCTACCCCGGTCGAAACTTACAAAAAAACATCCCGAAAAACTTTTAAATTCACGCTTCTAAAAAAATTGAACGACTCGTTATTTTAAAAGGGCAAAATGTCTCAAAAATAATATCGTTTCGAAAAACATTGTAGATAAAAAATTGTTTTATTTAGCGAGTTCTGCATATGGTTAAAATTAATGTATTTATTTCTGTTATTACACTGTTACTACCAGACACTTAAAATAGATTAAAATCTAATTTTTTTGACGTTAATCTAATGAAATTTGACTCGACCTTTCCGTTATACAAGGTGCGCCAGAACTCACGCTCCAGAAGTAGGAACCAGGAACATAGAAAAAATGTTTAAAGAATTCTATCTATAAAAAAATTTTGACATTTATTTTGTGAGATTTGACATTTTTTTATGTCTATTTAATGATACTGATGATCTCGTATATGTTTTTTTACAATTATTTAGTAAAGGTACAAAAATTTTGCCATAAAAGCCACAAATAACATTGAACTTGTTTCCTCTTATAGCAAAAAAATACTTCGAAAACTATTTTTCCAACAGAAATAAATAGAGTCAAAGTATAAAATTTAAACTCTCATAACTTCAAAATTTTTATAGATAAAATTTTTTTAGCATTTTTTCCATGTTCCTGGTATCTTACCTTATAAGTCACTTTTCTCTGGGGCGTGGGTTTTGGCGCACCCTGTATAGGTAACAACTTTACTTTTATTGGAATATTTGCTTCAAAGTCGAATTGCAAATAGCTCATCTGCTCATCGTTAAAATCATTGGTTTATACACATGGTCCGAATCTACGAATCACTAAAGTGTGTATTTGTGCAAAATTTTGTGAATAATTAGATAACTAGCGAGTCGGATTATCACACGATAATTTAATACTGCCCGCAACAAAAACCGCAGTTTTGTGTTTATTTACGTGAGGTTTCATGGTCGTATGTTTCGGTAGAGAGGATGCGGAATGGGAATATGTGGCCGTCGAGAACGTGCCTCGTGTATTAATTCAAATAAAAATCAATAACAATACGACATAAATTCACACCGACCAATCATGTAATAGTTGGGAAAAAACAGCACGAATTTTAGGGATTTTCGTGTAGAATAATATTTGCGGAGAAGATCCTCGTCGACAAATCCTTATGAAAATAACCAAAAAAGGGTAAGCGTGGTAATTGAATTCGTAAATAATTCCAAACATAACATGTTAGCTTTTCTCGGTACTTTGATAGATAATTGGATTAGAGGTGGAAAAAACGACACGAACTTGTTACAATTTAATTACGGTAGAAAAAGTACGATTTTTGGTCGAAGATCAATGTAGCTCATCTCGTACAAAAAAATAAGTCAAATGTTTACAAAAGAAACTTTAAAAAGTCAACACAAGAAAGTGGCTGAGGTTTGCATGTCCACAAACTTGTTGCAAGTTCTTTTTATGCTTGATTAGTAAAAGTTTTATTTGAAAATAATTGTCGTGCTAACAACGCGTCTGTCACGCTACTAAGATAATGCAAATGCAACAATTAAAATTCTAGATAAATCAACTCGGACTGAATAGAAAAAGAGTCGCAGAAATAACTTCAGGATTTAGAAGACCAACACTGAAGCAAAAATAAAAATGACACTCTCGCATCTTAAAAAAAAAGGAAATAATATAGAAACTTTTATTCAGAACGCTCTAAAGAGATTTCGGTTTGATCGTTTGCAGGGCAAAAGCTCTCATGCAAAAAGGTTCAATAAAGCAAGAACGTGTTTTTTTAAAGCTTTCACCAGAAGGCTCTGGGCAAAGATCGAACAAGTTCTAATGAATACTTTACGTAAACTTATCAACACTTGCGAGGTTATCGATAAATAAAACATAAATCTTTTCTAGCCTCTGTGGCGAGTTTAACCATTCCGACCCTTAGACGGTGTCGCGTCGAGACGCTACAAGAGCTCGACAGTCCTCGACTCCATCTCCTTTATTGTACTTCGTGGACTAGACGTGAATACAAAATTGCATTATGTGCTTAAGTACAGCCATAGAATAATAAATGTTTCTATTTGTTGAGCTAACTCCAAGCATCATCAGCGTGATTTTAACAGCACTTTCAATTAAATCCGTTCGTCTTATTTCTTGATTTTTTGTTTATTCTTTGCCGGCAGAAATTAATTTGTTTGAAACTTGTAAGAAACTGAGGCAAAAATGTTAATTATATTCTCCCAAAAGCAAAATCAAGTTAAAAAAACAAATTACATCAAACAAAAATTAGTTTTTTGCAGAGATGTAAATTTGAGTAATCGATGTTTTTAATGTGAACCAAATTTTCCCACATTACCATAATTAAAGAGTGAGGTTAATTGACTCAAAACCCAGCAGAGCAAACGTGAACTTTCCCTCTCGTGATGGTCGACAAATCTGTAAATATTTGATGAAAGTTGCTGTTTGCAATTCTTCGAGAAATTATGTAAACTGTGGCGTAAGCTTCTAAGTACGACGAGTGGTTTTGAGTAAAATGGAAAAGTTGTTTAAAGCCCCTTTAAAATGTGTCCTTGCCTTTTCGATTTTTACCTCAAGTGCAAGTCTCTCTATTTATAATTCCCACAATCATTCGCAAAATATTAACTCATTAATTCCGTCCCACTTTGATATGTCACAATAAATGTCAAGTGTCAGTGGCAACGTTTCAATCTCATGTTTATTCAGTTTGATGTGAGTTAACCACTTCAACGTGATGGACTGGTCGTTGAGTTTGTTCAACCCTAATCCTTACATTGAGTACAACATCGACGATTTCGTCATAGACAATAAGAACAACCTGGAATCCCTCCCACCGGAACCCCAACTCGGGAACATCGAATACAAACTCAAAATCGTAAACCCTACCAAACAACGGTTCGAACATTTGGTAACGCAACTGAAATGGCGCCTCCACGAAGGCAACGGTGTTGCAATTTACCAAATCGGCGTTGAAGATTGCGGCATACTTGCCGGCCTTTCTCACTGGGACATGACAGCCAGTCTGCAAACCCTTCAACTTATGGCCCTACGGCTCGGGGCCAACACAGCAATATTGCACGAGCGAGTATTAGAAAATGGACGTCGGATCGTCCAAGTTAGAGTAGAAAAAGCTCCAGTTTAATTTGTAATCACTGCTGAAAATACATTTATTTGGAAAAAACGTCGTTTCCTTTCTGTTCCAGTCCGAACACTAAAGCTTTCAGCAATAACAATGCTGTTTATTGCTGAAATGCGAGACGACAGAGCGTTACAATGTTCTTGAACGAAGGTGTTTAGTAGTAAAGGCGAGGCGCCCCCCTCTCATTCAAAAGAACGCGCCCCATTTCTCCTTCTCCTAATTGAAAATCATAACGTAATTAATTTCGATGTTTCAGTCGAGTGCAAAATCTGTTGGCTCTCAGAGGCGAGTGAAAGAATATGGCGAAAGCCATCCAGCGTTGGATTTACTCATGGATAAAATTAGATTTGAAGTGTGCCACTGTAATACATTGATGAAATTTTTATCAAGAGTTTTTGTGCCGTTCCTTTAACGGCATAATCGAGACTCTCCGTAGTTGGTTAAATAAGCGTCTCGTCTGTGCCTTGAAGGTGTGTGTTTGATTGATGTAGCGATAGCAATAACTCGACTCGCCCTCGGTACGACTTCCGTTCCCGTTGTCTATGAGTTAACAGGGCATTTGCACACAACGACTATAATGCCTCCGGTGCTGAATCGAATATTACGGATAATGGAACGCTTATTAACGTCTATTACCTAAACAGCAAGTTCTCACGTGCCGTTGAGATTTATATTCGATGTTATTCTCAAACAAAACGCATGCAGTGCTTTCCTCATTGTTTAACAAAACACCACTTCTTCAATTCATAATTCGAGCTCCAATTAGGCAAATCGTTAAGCCGGGATTAAGTCAGCCAATTCCGGATAAAAACAAATCGAATGGGAAAAATTGATTGGGAAACTTTGGCCGACTCATACTAATTCAAGCTGGACGGATATAGGGGATATGTTGCGCCGGTTATTCAATAAACCCGGCTTTGTCCCCTGTTTTATATTCCACTCTGAGTAAAGACCGACCATCTTTGAGAATTGCTCCATTAAATATTCAAGACCCTCTCTCACTCTAGGAATTCGGCAGGGAATTTTTTCGCGCCTCTTTACATGCGCCTTAATGAAGTCATAAATTCGCCCGATTAATTATTAAAATAACAGGGTACCTCCTTCGAGCACTTTCACCTGATAACTGAAAAACCCAAAGATACGAAAAACTTTTTGTCTCCACGACCTTAATTATGGAAATGAAACGGGAAAAACTGACAAATGTCCATTCATCATCCGTTTTTCCATGGTAATTATCTCTCACACCTCCCTTTTTCAAGATGAGTCTAACAAGCGCTGCAAACATCGATTTTTCTCAGGTTTGTCGTAAGTGGTCCGGCGATTACCGCATCGAACCGTGTCCCAACATAAATTCGAGTATTGTCATATTTGATAATCTAGACGAAAAGAGGGAAAGGCGTACGTGCCCCAGGCGTCGAAAATGCGCGTTTACAAAGTGTGTTTTAGAACAGCATCTACACCATCACCCTTCAACACCTCTTTCTATCCATTTTATATGTAAATATTCGAACACTTTCATCATCGTTTCTATTCCCAGGCGATTCTGACCGAATTCCCACATCAAATTTGACACTTGGAGATAATTATTTTCGAAAATGCAAGACTTGCAAGAACTAAGATAATAACCGACTTAGAATCTCAAATCCTCTGCGAATACTTCGATAATAAAGCCGCCCCCGAGTTTCAAACTTATCTCGAGCCCTTATAAAACGGTAATATAAATCACTCAAATCGCCAATTCACGTCGATATTCACTACACTTCGGTTGCTTTACTTTGGCAAGATTGATGTTTTAATAAACACGACTATTAACGTCGACATTATTACAACCACTAGAGTCACTTTTGTACCCCCCGTCGACACCATACAACTACAAAGCAAAGTGACAACAAACAATACCAATTCGCTATCCATTTTTCTCAAACTCCCAAAATTAAAAACATATTTATTTGTTCCCGTCACAAACAGCCTTTGGAAAGTCGAACGATTTTAAATCAAAATGCGACATTTAAAAAGCAAGTTTCACAAGTCTGAATACAAATAAGCGCCATTATTTACCCCGTGTCCTACCTCCAAAAGTGTTTTTCAAGAGCTGGAACAAATAAAATCCAAGATTTAGAATTGCGTTCGATTTGGTATCGATCTCCATTGTACCTGGATTTCAATAATTAAACGTTGTAGTTATTTATAGAAAATTTTGTACCATATCGTTTTTAACCAAAATGTACCTCGGATAAATTACGAGTAAATAGAAACAAACGACATTACTTTACGAGAGTAAGTGGATAAACCAATTGTTAAACACCCAAAAGTACCATTGACAATTTGACACACAAAACAAATAATTCTTAAAAATCACCAAGTCTTAGAAATCTAAAAAAAACTTGGCTTTAGACCCCTCAAAATAGCATTGTACTTACTTTTACACCAGAGCAATTGGACACCTTATAAACCTAGTAAAAATTATTAAATAAAACTTGAAATGTTATACTATTCTGGTAATACATGTTGAAGAATAATTTTTCCAAGTCTTCGAAAAAGTTTGTCAAGCCTGAAAATGGGAATTTTATCCAACTATTCGAGACATTTATGCTTCGACGCTTCAAATTCGAAACATTGACATCTTTATAGCTATACATATGGATCTGAAACTAGACAATTTAAATGCGTGTTGAATTATTACAGACGACGTAAAAAAGTTGAAATGCGGGTTTGAAATGTATTGCTCAAGCTGTTTTTTCTTGGTCCTTGTGCAGACTAAGAATTGATAACTTTACGCGATTCAGAATTTGTTTTGGTTGGTTAGTTATCCAATAAAGTGATCCGACACAAAAGATTTCCGTTAGATAAATTTTGAGTATCAAGTATCTCGAGTTAAAGAATGTTACCCTATTAAGGTGCGATAACAAAATAAAGGGTGCGTCAGAAATCGCGCTTCATAGATAAATGCTATGTAAGAAGATACCAGAGACATGATTAAAATTTTTCTTCTTCTTGGATCTTCTTGGTATGGAAACGATGAACAAAAACACGATTAGCCCGTCACACCAAACTTTTATTTTAATAGCACAACGCGTTTCGACCACAAAGTGGTCATCCTCAGGTGAGAATAAAACTAACTAATTTAACAATGGTAATGCCTTATATACTAATTTTCCGACTTTCACTTTCCCTACCCTCAACTAACGAGTAGAGGGGAGAAAAGGGAATG